GGTGACGCAGGACAAGGCTGCCCTGTGGACTGACAGCCGCTACTGGACCCAGGCGGAGCGGGAGCTGGACTGCAACTGGGAGCTGCAGAGGACAAGTCAGTGGGGGCAGGATGGGGGCCCGCTGAGTCCCCAGGGACCCCCCAGGCCCTGCCACAGCCACCTCTGGGCTCAGCGTGGGCCGGGACACACTGCAGATCCGCGGTGCCACCCAGCTCTCTCCTGCAGTCTCGATCGAGTCCATCGGGATGTGGATCCTGAAGGCGGTTCCTGCGGAGGGGAAAGTCAGTTTGGACCCCTTCCTCTTCTCCATCGGTAGGGCTGGCTGACACTGTGGGTCACCCTGCCCACGGGAGGGCAGCCCCTGGGTGCGGATTTACCAGGAGCCCAAACCTGCGGGCTGCTAACCCCCCAGACACCTGGAAGAGCTACAGCCGGGCTCTGCACGGCTCTGGCCGGACCCTGCATCCCCTCGAGACCAACCTTGTGGATCAGGCATGGGGTGACCAGAGACCCCCTCCCTCCTCCAGCGAGATCTACAGCCTCCCAGCAGAGTTCACAGGTCTGACCCCAGCCTCCCGCAGCACCCCCAGCCTGGGGCCGTGGTGGTCCCTGCACTGAGCCGACCACTCGCCCGACTCGCAGGGAGGAGCTGGCAGGAGAAGGTGGCTGGGATCCGGCAGCGGATGGAGCAGCATGTGCGGCGCCCCACAGCCGTGCTGCTGTCGGGGCTGGAGGAGACGGCCTGTGAGTACCCACGGTGGGGCCACGGCAGGAGCCGTGGGCTCGAACCCTGCTGGGGGGGAGGGCAGTGGCAATCGCGGGTGCAGAGGTCTCGTTCCTGGCAGGGCTCTTCAACCTCCGCGGAGATGACATCCCCTACAACCCTGTCTTCTACTCCTACACCCTCCTGACCAACACAACCATAAGGTGGGCAGTACATCCCTGTGGGCACGGGGCCTGGAGGGGGCTCACTACCCACCCCCTTCCACCCTTCCTTTCCTGAGCCAGCCCCCACAGGACCTTCCTTTCTGCCCCATTGCCCATTATCCCCAGAGCCACCCCATCCTGCCATTCCCAGCCCCACTGCCTGTCCTTCCAAGCCACACATCCTTCCCAATCCATCCCCTTGCTCCCAGGGCACGGCACACTCCCTTTCCTCACAGCCTGAATTCCTCCCGTTCCCAGCCCAGCATCCCCTCACAGCCGCCCGGGTCCCTCCTCTCTGCCGGCGTGGCCGGACTCGGGGGAACCAAAGGCAGCAGCTGAGCACCCCGTCTGTGCCCACCCCATCCCGCTCCCTCCCCAGCCTGTTCGTGGAGGAGTCCCGGCTCTCGGCGGCGGCGCGGGAGTCCCTGCGCTCGGGCTGCCCGGGGCCGCTGTGCGTGGAGCTGCAGGAGTACGGGCAGGTGAGCGCCCACCTGCGCCGCTACGCCCAGGGCAGCGTCACCGTGTGGCTGGGCACCGAGTACACCACCTACGGCCTCTACGCCATCATCCCGCAGGTGGGCACCGAACCTGGCCTGCGTCCTGCAGGCTCAGGGATGGCCCCATGTCACCTGTCGCCTGAGGGGACACGTAGCTGTGCCACATTCTGTCTGCCCTCACAGGAGAAGCTGCTGGAGGAGAGCTACTCGCCTGTCATGATGGCCAAGGCTGTGAAAAACACCCATGAGCAGGAGATGCTGCGAGCTGCGCACGTAAGGGCTGTCCCCCTCCCCACAGAACAGGGGGCAGACCGGAGGAAGCAGGGTGCTGATGTCCCCTCCCCGCTGTCACCCCAGGTCCGGGACGCGGTGGCCGTCATCCAGTACCTGCTGTGGCTGGAGAAGGCAGTCCCCCAGGGGCACGTGGACGAGTTTTCGGGGGCTCAGCAGATAGATGCATTCCGCTGGTCAGTGCTGCCCCCGGGGCCTGCCCTGCCCAGTGAAGGGCAGCCAGGGGCCCCCAGCACCTCCCTTCCTCCCTGCTGACTTCCAGGGCCCAGGAGCACAGCCGTGGGCCCAGCTTCCAGTCCATCTCGGCCAGCGGGCTCAACGCAGCACTGGCTCACTACAGGTATGGCTGGGGCAGCGGTGGGCAGTGGGCAGGGGGCGGTGGGCAATGGGCAGCTGGGAGAGGGCTCTGACCCCCCTCCCCTTGCAGCCCCTCCAACGGGAGCAGCCGGACACTGTCTGCGAGAGAGATGTACCTCTTTGACACCGGAGGGCAATATCTGTGCGTAGCTTTGAACGAGACCCCCCCCACCACAGCCCCACATCCAGGGCCCCCCATAGTCAGTGCTGGGGCTGCATCAGCCCTTTATGATCCCCCCTTTGCAGGGATGGGACAACAGACATCACTCGCACAGTGCACTGGGGTGAGCCCACCCCGCTCCAGAAGGTACCAGCCCCTCCCATGGCAGCCAACATCCCCCTGTACTGCCCAGGGCACCCCTGAGATACCCAGACCCCACTGCACTGCCCAGCACTCCCTGTGGCACTCAGCATACAGGCCTGGCCAGGGCTGGATGTGCAGGGGTGGGTGTCTGGGTGCCACTCACCCCCTGCCATTCCCTACAGGAAGCCTACACCCGTGTGCTGATGGGCAACATTGACCTCTCCCGCCTCATCTTCCCATCCAACACAGCAGGTGGGTGCCAAACCCAGCGTTGGCCCTGCACAGAACCCCTGGCACAGCGAGCAGGAGGGCACAGGGGAGCCCCATAGGCTCCTTGGCCCCCGTCCCACCTCTTCACTCCCCAGGGAGAACAGTGGAGTCCTTCGCCCGCCGGGCACTCTGGAATGTTGGACTCAACTATGGCCATGGGACCGGCCATGGCATTGGCAACTTCCTCTCAGTCCATGAGTGTAGGTGTCACCAAAACTGGTGCTGGGCATATGGGCTGAGCTACGGGGACAGGGACAAGGACAGGAGCTCACTGTGGGCTTCCCAGCAGAGCTTCTGTAAAGAGCCGGGAAATCCCTGCTTGCAACACCCCCAAGATCCTTGCTGAGGTGGTCCCAAGCTCCTTACTGGGATGATCCTTGTCCTTGTAGTGGTCCTTGCCATGGTGGCCCCATAGTCCTTGCCCTGGTGGCTCTGTGGTCCTTGCTGGGGTGTCCCTGCAGCAGGTGCCATCCACAGAGTTCTAACCCGCCTCGTGTCCCTGCAGGGCCCGTGGGTTTCCAGTCCAACAACGTGCCACTGGAGGCTGGCATGTTCACCTCCATTGGTATGTCCTGGCACCCCAACTGGCACCCCAGCTCTCTGGGACAGCCCTGGGCACAGAGCCCAACCAGGGACGGGGTGTCAGCTCTTAGGCATGCTCAGGGGCCAGATCCAGCCCCACTGGGGTGGGCTGGGAGAGCTGCTGGGGTTGGGGGCTCACCAGGCATGTTCCCGGCCCTCAGAGCCCGGGTATTACCAGGATGGCGAGTTCGGGATCCGCATTGAGGACGTCGCCCTCGTGGTGGAGGCACAGACTGAGGTAGGGGAATGGAGACAGAGTGACAGAGGTGGCACACCATGGTGGCCTGCATCGAGTCAGGGGTGGGGACAACTCTGAGGGGGTAGGGGACACCCAATGACACCTCTCTGTGGCAGCACCAGAGCGGGGAGAAGCCTTTTCTGACCTTCGAGGTGGTGTCCCTGGTGCCCTATGACCGCAACCTCATCAACCTCAGCCTCCTGTCCCCAGAGCAGGTACAGGGGTGTGCTCAGGGTGGGGAGCAGAGCAGGGATGCGAGGTCAGCACAGGGGCTTGGGGGGTGGATGCAGGAAAAAAACAGGACCATGGCATGATGCTGGAGTGGGTAAATGAGGACAGAGCAAGGATGGGTACATGGATGAAGAGGGGCAGTGAGCTCTGCAGGTGAGACCAGTGGTCAGGGTGTGGGGCAGCTGGACGGGGAAGGCCAAAGACAGGGGCAGCACCCAGGCCACCCCCCGGCAGCTCCCGGTGGTGCCTGGCTGCAGATCCGGTACCTGAACTCCTACTACGAGAGGATCCGGGCACACGTGGGGCCGGAGCTGCGGCGGCAGCAGCTGGAGGAGGCGTACGCCTGGCTGCAGGAGAGCACCGAGCCCTTCCCGATGAGCAGCGCCGGCCCCGCCGCCGCGGGCACGCTGGCCCTGGCCTCGCTGCTCTCGGTGCTGCTCAGCGGGCTGGGGGCCTGACCCCCCACCCGTGGCCCCACTACCCCCTCCCACCACGGCTGGGTCTTCCCCCACCCTCACTTCCTTTTTTTGTGGTGTATTCTATTTGTCGGCTGGGATTAAACAAAAGCAAGGCGGGCCCCGCTGTACCCGATGTGCTGCGCGCTGCCTCGCCGCTGAGTTGGGGCTGGAGTCCGGCCCCAACCCCACCCCTGGCACCCTCCTTGTGCCACCTTGTCCAGCCCTGAGGCCACCAAGCCAAAGCCGACAGTGGGGAGATGGATTTGGGCAGAGTTCAGCTGTGGGGCAAAAGATGGAGGATTTGGAGTGAGAAGAGGCAGGGCAGCCAGCCCAAGCAGGGATATCCCCGCGGGTGCCAGCAGCGGGGTGACCATGAGCACGTCCCACCTGCGTGCGAGGACCTGCGGACACGGGGGACATCCCAGACCAAGTGTCACGCAGAGAGCTTGGCTATCGTGTCCCAGCAGGATGAGCAGGCACGGGGGCGAGCACAACAGAGGAGTTTGGGACTGTCACCTTCTCCATGGGGGGGACGCACGATGCCCATTTGCGGATGGAGCAGCATCACCGAGGGGCGGCGGCGCTGCCAAGGGGAGGCAGGGCACGGGCAGCATCACCGAGGGGCGGCACGGCCCAGAAGTGTCAGGGCTCAGACACCGTCCCCACCCAGGGGCCCCGGGCAGGGCAGCAGCTCGCTGGAGGGTTTCCTTCCTCCTGCCCCAGCCCGCGCTTCGGCAGCCACCCCGAGCACGGCTGCAAGCGCCTCTCATGTGACCGCCGCTTCCTGTGCGCTCCCGGCTCGGTGCCGGTGCCGCGGGACGGGTCGGGTCGGGTCGGGACGGGTCGGGTCGGGTCGGGTCGGGCCGCGCTCGCCGCTGCCGCACTCTGAGCCCTCGCCACCGGCCCCAGCGCCATGCTGCGCCGCAAGCCTTCCAACGCCGGCGACAAGGAGCCGGGACACAGGAAGGTGAGTGCTGCGGCATCCCGGTGCCCTCGCACCGCCGATGTCCCGGTACATCCAGAGCTGCTCGAGCCTGGGCTGCCGTGGGATGCTGAGCAGGAGGGCTGGGCAGGGCCTCGGGGGCTGGGGCAGCACGGCAGCTGCCCTGCCGTCAGTTTGTCCGTCCTGCCACCAGCCACTGTGGCCTCGCCAGTGCGTGGTCCTGGCCTTGTCCACCTCCCACTCTGGCTTCCATCCTGGTGGGGCGTGTGGCTGGGATGCACGGCACTCGGGATCAGGTGCCGGTGGGACCCGCGGAGCTCTGCTGGGGGAGGATGTGGCCCCCCACTCCCCATGGCCTCCCCAGACGTGGGCGGCCGCCCGTCATTTCCTGGCGGGGGACATGGCTGCGGTGCGGGTGTGCAGCTCTCTTGCGCAGCAAGGTGCTGCGGTCGAGCCTGCAGCTCCGTCACGTGTGTCAGCTTCCTCCGACAGCACCGCTGCGAGGTGGGAGCCGCAGGAGCGCCAGCTGCCAGTGCCACGGCCTCCCGAGAGCCCCCTGCGTGGCACGGCCGTGTGCCACCCCGCGGCTGAAGGCTGGAGCATGAAGTCACCAGTGAGGGCCAAAACTGGCTCCTCATCCCCTGCCGGGTCTCCTACCAGCTGGCACTTCAGCTCTTGCCAAGCTTTGCTGGGCTGGCATCAACATCTGCAAATCGCGGAGAGCAGGGGCAGTGCCTGGTGGAGAGGTCCTGCCCGTGACAGGCACAAACCCTGCCATGGCAGCTCCTCCATGCTGCCAAGCTTGCACAGGAAACCTGGGTGAAGTCCTCCTCCCTGCGCTGGGGTGGCCCATCCACCCTGGCCAGTCCCAGTGGGCATCCCCTGCCCTTGCCCAGCCACAGCCACTCTCACTTCCCCCTCCTGCTCTGCTCAGGGACAGCCCGGCCCCCCTGACTCACATCCAGGCTCTCCATGGCTCCTCCAGCCCCAGGGCAGTTCTATCTCAGAGCTGCTTTATCTCAGCACCGAAGCCCTGGAAGCTTCAGTGTGTCTGGATCTGGTGGATTCAGGGCACTGGGGTGGGAGCAGGGCAAAAGCCAGCATCCCCTCTGCACGGATGCAGCTGGAGCTGGCATGAAGCCACAGGGGCTGTGCAGCTGGGTGTGGCACCGTGAGCCAGCCCTCTGCAAGGAATGGCAAAACCAAGGGCTCAGGGGTGCTCAGTGGAGCCAATGAGAAGGAGAATAAAGAGGGAACAGCACAGGGCCAGGCTGTGCAGGGCTGGGAAAGGCCTCCGCTACAACAGAAGCTGGCAGAGCTGCTTGAGAACAGAAATCCCTGTGATGGTAGTGGCAAAGCAAGCACTGTGGTGTGTGCTCCAAGCGCCTCAAGAGTGCTGGAAAAGTGGCAGCCAAGCTCACCATGGCCAGTGTACCAGCAGGCTGGTGCTGGCATCCAGGGATGAGGGACACCTGGGACCAGGTGGCTCTGCTGGCACCAAGGACATTCCTGGCACAGAGAAACCCTTCCATGTGAGACAGGCACCTGAGGCCATGGAGAGGAAGGCAGGCAGGGGGCACAGGAAAGACCCAAAATGGGCAAGGGGTGGAGAGGTGTGCCAGGACTGAGATCCAAAACCAGCTTTGATGGCTTAGGCATGGAGGTGGCACCAAGCCAGCTGGTGATGCTGGGGGTGTGCTCTCTGGGTTATGGGGTGACACTCACAGGTGGAAAACATGGATGAAGCCTCCAGGATTTTGGTCCTGGAGCTGACCCTGTGGTAGCAGCAGGGATGTGGCCCTTCACTGCCTGCCCACCTGTGCTGAGAGGAGATACAGAGCCCTGTGTGCCCCCACATCCTGGCCCATGTGTCAGGGTGGCATTGTGGCACAGCCCTGGGATGTTCCCAGCATGGCAGTGTCAGGCTTCACACCAGAGCATCCCTGCCCTGGGAATTCCGTGCCAAGCAGCTGCACAGGCACCAAGAGCTCCACATCCCAGTTCCAGGGGGTTGATGACACATGGCAGCTCCTGGAAAAGAGCAAAAAACTCCTCCCAGCACTGGCATCACCCTGGGATGGGCAGAGCAGCCCAAAGAGCAGAGAGGAGCTGGGGCAGGGAACGCAGGAAGAAGCCCATCTCCCACCTTTCCATCTCCCCCCTCACACCTCTGCCCCTGCTCCCAGCTTTCCCTACAGCGTTCCAGCAGCTTCAAGGATTTCAACAAGTCCAAGGTCAGCTCCCCCGTGTCAAGCGAGGAGTTCAACCTGGAGGAGAACGTGAGTTCCCAGCACCCCCGAAGCAGCAGCACCCCTTGACACCTCCTGCTCCCCTGGGAACAGCCCATTTCAGGGCTGGTTTCCCAAAACTCCTGGTCTTAAAAGTGGCCCACGTGTCATGGAGCAGCCCCAGGGTGCCAGCACTGGTGGGATTTGGGATCTCACAGCCCTGTGTGACCCTGCTGAGGCTTGCCCAGGGTGGGGGGCTCTGCCTTCACTCTCCATCGCTCTGGCAGATCCCCGAGGATGATCCCAGCGCTGCCAGGCCTGAGGAGGCCGTGCGGAGCAGCGGGACGAAGCTGGGCAGGAAGTGGCGGGCGGTCATCTCCCGCACCATGAACCGCAAGATGGGCAGGATGGCTGTGAGGGCGCTGGCCGAGGGGAAGGTGAGCAGGGGGCGTGGGGACACGCACAGGGGAGAGGGGGACAGCTCCCCCTCCCTCGGCCTGACCCCAGTACCCTCAGCAGGGAGAGATGGAGGCGGAGGGGCCCCCATGCCCCCTGTCCCCAGCCAGCAGCGTGGAGGAGCAGAGCCATGACAAGGTGCCCTTGTTCCTGGAGCTGGAGGAGGAGGAGGACGGGCGCCCGGCCCTCGGACGCCAGATGTCCAGCGGTGAGGCCAGCCCCGACGGGACACTGCCCCCATGTCCCCAGCCGGGCACATCCTGACCCCCTCCTCTCTGCAGGCAGTGACATTCCCAGCCCTGGCGATCCCAGGGACAGCCAGCTGCTGGAGGACACCGTCCCCGCCTACACTGGCCCCTTCTGCGGCCGGGCCCGCGTCCACACCGACTTCACCCCCAGCCCCTATGACAAGGACTCCCTGAAGCTGCGGGTGAGCCACGGCCACTGCGGCCCTGGGCAGGGAGGGAGGGTGGCCAGGGACCCCCTGAGCCGGGGCTGTTCCCTGGCTGTCCCCAAGCCTGTCCACCATCCCACGTCCCTTGGCCTAGAAAGGGGACATCATCGGCATCATCGAGAAGCCACCTGTGGGCACCTGGACCGGGCTGCTCAACAACAAGGTGGGCTCCTTCAAGTTCATCTACGTGGACGTGATCCCCGAGGAGACGGTCCCTGCCCGCAGGAGCCGGGGCTCCAGCCGGAACAAGCGCCTCAAGCCCAAGACCCTCCATGAGCTGCTGGAGCGCATCAACCTGCAGGTGAGGGGCAGGGGCTGAGGGGGACAGCAGCACCCAGCACGGCACCTGCAGTGCGACCAACCCCTCTCCCCTTCACTATCCCCCACCTCCTGGGTCCCCCCACCAAGCACCCAGCGGCACGGAGGGGACACGTGGGGCATTTCTAGGTAATGTGGGGTAAGTGCCCACTGTGAACCCACTGAGGGGGGAGCTACAGGCCAACACTGGGGTCAGGGGGAGCCAGGGGAGCCACCCAAGCCCTGCTCACCCCTACCCACACCCCCCACCCAGGAACACACCCCCACCCTCCTGCTGAATGGGTACCAGACCCTGGAGGACTTCAAGGAGCTGCGGGAGACCCACCTGAACGAACTGCACATCACGGACCCCCAGCACCGCGCCAAGTTGCTGACGGCTGCCGAGCTCCTCCTGGACTATGACAGTAAGAGCCTGGGGAGGGGCGGGGGAGCCCTGGCCGGGCACCCCAGCAGCACCACTAACACCACGGCCCTCTCCAGCAGCCAGCGAGCCAGAGGATGGTGACACCACCGAGGCCCCGCCATCGCCCTCAGAGCCCAAAGGGGACATTCCCCGGGACTCCGGCTGCTTCGAGGGATCGGAGACCCTGGATGGCAGCCGGGAGGAGGCTGAGCTGGGTCCTGAGGAGCAGCTGGGGGCTCTCTCCATGGCAGAATCCCCCTGAGCCCGCCGGCACCGCCACTTCCCGCTCTGGCCCTAACAGGGGGGCTGGATTGGAGGGGACGGCTGCTGGCGGGGGACAGGGAGCCCCAGTGGTGGCACCTCGGGGCCCGGCTCGGCCCCTGCACCAGAGCCACGTGCTGGGTGGACACGAGGTGCCCCAGGACATTTTGCATGGCACTGCCTGGCATCACTGCCCCAAGGCAGGAACTCTGGGCACGCTGGGGCACCGTGCTCCCCGCCAAGACACCACGGGCATTGGCTGCTTTTCCCAGGTTTACCGGCAGGCTCAGGAAGGGAGAGCTGGGGATGGAAGCTGTGTGTGCAGGTAACTGAAGCCTGCCCAGGACACTGTCACTTCTCAGCATGGACACACAAAGAACCCTCTCACCTGCCATGGGGGACAGCAAGATGCAGAGAACACAGCTAAGACACCCTGGAAGTGTGAGATGGAAACGCACAGGGAAGGGGGAAGAGGCAGCTGGCTTGGGGCAGCACAGACACGCAGGGGCTACAGCTCAGCCGTTTTCAAACCAATTAAGTTTCCTTCATTGTTTTAAAATTAAAAAAAATAATTAAAAAAAAAAATAAAGAACACCCAACCCTCACCCAACCCCCTTCCTTCCTTCGGGAGACCCTGACCCCGTGCAGGCAGGTCCCAGCAGGCAGCACTCCACACACCTCGTGGAACAGGGAGCAGCAAAGCCAAAATACACACTTTTTCGCACCGAATTAGAGATTTGGTCAGTAGCGTGTTGGGGCAACTCCCACGGGGCGGGGCACAGGAGCTCTGTCCCCAGAGGATGGAACGGGATGCGGCTGGGCTGGCTGAGGGCCATGGCAGGGCGGCCACATTCCAACTGGGAGCAGCTGTGGCAGCTCTGCCCTCTCACCCGGGAGAAGAGGCCCCACACGGCGGGAGAGGGGGCAGTGCCGGTGCCACGTTCACACCACACCCCTCACTGCCAGCCAGCAGCATCACGGGCACACACACGGGCCTGGCCTGGCAGGACACCCCCAGCAGCCATCACACGCCTGCGGGGAGGAACGGGAGTGCCCAGCACAAGGGACGTGGAGCTGCCAGGGCCTCTCCTCCACCAGAGACCTCTGCAAAACCCCAGAGGTGTGAGGGTCCTGCCAGTGCAGGATGGGGACTGTGGGGTAGGGGGAGCCCTGCCATGGCACAGAGCTCACCCACCATCCCCCCAGCCTCTCCTTCTCTGTCAAGGACACACAAGTCCAGCCCTGAGCAGCTGGCACAATCCTGGGAAGATCCAAGGCTCCCAAAGCCAGTCTAGGATGGCTGAGAACAGCAGAACAAGGCAAGGGGGGGACAAGGGGATGCAATGACACAACACAGATCGGGGCTGAGGTCCTGGAGAGCTGCTCTGCCACAGCTGAGTGCAGACACCCAGCAACAAATGCAGCCCCAGCAGCAGCCAGGAGCCAGTGGCACAGGCAGATGCTTCCCTGCAGCTGTCCACCCTGGCTGCCCTCTCTCTCCCTTGAAGCCCAGGGTGGTATGAGCACCAAGGCAGGACAGGAAGGAGGGTCCCTCATAGCTGCTGCCTTGTTACATCACATGGAAAGGAGCACAGGAGGACAGCCACTTAAAAACTGCTGCCAGCAGAACTCCTTCCCACTTGTTTGGGTCCTTGGGGCACCAAAACATCTCCTGACAAGCTTTGCCACGCCAACCACAAAACAACGGAACAGATTAGAGGAAGGAGGGAGGAGGGGAGAGAGGACATTGCTGCCACGATTGCTTTCCCCTTCCTTGGGGATTCCTCAGCAGGAGGGAGCAGGCCGGCCCTGACAGCCTCGCCCTGTCAGAGCTGGGCCCGGGCGGAGGGACAGCCCCAGCCCTGAGGCGGGATGGAGCACCCAGGACAGAGCCAGAGGCCAGTCCCGGGCAGGCCTGGCGCTGGCAGTGCCCCACGGTGACCAGGGCGTGCCACCCGCGCTCGCTGTCCCGTGCCACCGCGCAAGGCCAGCGCTGCCCGCACCGCGGGGAGTAACGACTAAAGCAAAATGGCCATGGGGAATCAGGCGCCTGCCATCCAGCCCTTCTCCTCTCCTCCACCACTTCCAGCTTTGATTAGACAAAACAACAAAGTTCTCCCTTCCAAGCAGATGCTAGTGCTCTGCTCGCCCAGGGTCCGGGGAGGGCACCGGGAGCTCCCCAGGCGTTCGCTGCTTCTCCTCTGGCATCTCGGTGTCGCTCACAGACGGCACAGGGACCTGGAGAGAGAGAGGACAGAGTGACCTGCAGGGACATCCCCAGTGCAGAGCCTGAGCACACAGGTCCCACCGCTCCCCTACCACCTCCAGCTCCACGAACAGCAGTCTCAGCTGGGCTTGGGAAAAGGAGAAACCAAAACCAGGGGCCACCCAACAGGCAGAACAGCTGCTTCAGACAGAGCTGGAGCACTGGACTGCTCCAGCAGAAGCTGGCGGGGCTGTGTCCATCAGAGAAGGGCAGCTCGTGCCCAAGCAAGAGCAAGCTGAGCCATTTCCCACCACGCTAATGGAATAATCTAGGTGGGAAGGGCACTCTGGAGGTCTCCTGTCAAACTATGTCCTTAATGCAGGACTAGTTTCAAACACAGAGCAGGTTGCTCAGAGACACAACAGTTTTCTCCAAGGATGGAGATCCCAGGGACAGTCCTGCAGCTCACACACAGCACCAGAACAAGATGTTTGCAACCTCTCAGCCCTCCCCAGCCCCACTAAGCTCCATGGGCAACAGCTCCTGAGTGCTCTCATGGCAGGACTGATCCCCAAAACTACAGCCAGCTGTGATGTCCTTTGAAGAAATCCAAGGAAACCAAGACACTGGTTTCCAGGGTCAGAGCAAACAAGCTTTACAGCAGCAGCCTCTCACATGACCCTCCATGTAATTTTGTCCTTCCTAAGTCACACTCTCAGCTTTCTCCCACTGTCCCAGGGTCCCCCCAGCACCCAAAGGGATCACTCACGGCACTGGGGGGAGGAATGCTGCCGTCCTGCTGCTTCATGCCACCCTCCTGGGCCTGCCCAGGGCCCTGCGTGGCCGGGGGCTCCTGTGTGCCGGGTCCTCGTGGGCACGACCCCTCCTGAGCTGTGCTCTCCTCCTGCTGCAGGATGCCCCGTCTGTCCAGGACACTGCAGGAACACAGCCACGCCATCAGAGACCCCTGTCTCCCCAAATCCCACCTCTCTTCCCAGCAGAAGTGCTGGTGGAAGACAAAGGTCAAGGCAGCCCCTCAGCAGCTCACCTGGGGGGCAGGGGCCCGCAGAGCACCTCGCAGCAGTTCTTCACTATGTTGCCATGACTGTAGGGATTCTGCACACGGTTCTTCCCAGTCCAGGACCCCTTAATCTGAAATAGTTGGGCACAAACTCAGGTTTACTCTAAGGCCACCCTGCCCCAGCACCCAGATCCCTGTGTTGTGCACAGCCCTGACACACTGAGAAACGGCGACAGCTCAGAGGAAGAGGAAGGCTCTACTTACGTCTTCGTTGGTTGTCTGATTCAGTGCCACCAGGAAGGTGTGGAACCCAGTTAACCCCACCACTGACCACAGCGTGAAGAAACAGATGAGCACCTCCAGTACAGTGAGAACAGTTAAGGACTGGGAACAACATGAAAGCAGGCCCAGCCCACCTGTTACTGCCCCCACAAACATCAACTTCTCTTGCTCTCCTAGCCACTGTTTTCTGTTTTATTCTCCTCCCAAAAGTCAAGAAAATGCTCCCCACATTGTCATCCATGCTCAAAAAGACTCAGAGTGGCCTAAGCAGCCACTCCCCAGTGCAGCTCCCACTAACCCCCAGTTTTGGAGAAGTCAAGCCCTTGGAACCATGGAAGGATATGTCCCTGGGGTTTCCTTCAACGTGTTCAGAAACCCAATCTTCAGAGATTCTACAATACAAAAAGAGATTTTTTCCACCAGGAACATGCCACTGAGTCCAGCTCCCTTTCTGACTCCCTAACTCTGGATTCACACCACCACCACTCCCTCCCTGCCTCCCAGCTCTCCAGGCAGACTCACTCAGTGCTACGTAGACGATGTTGAAGGTGAAGATGTAGATGGTGAGGAGGGAGAGCGAGAGGATGAAGAGGTAGAAGTAGCGGTAGTTCCTCTTTCCCACGCAGTTGCCCACCCAGGGACAATGATGGTCAAAGCGCTCTGAGGAAGCCAAGATGAAAATCAGCACTGCCCTGGCATGGCCCTGCCCACCTCTAGATCCTTGCTCCTGTGCTCCCACTTCTCCCAGACAGACACAAACTGCCGAGTTCCACCCTCTGCTCAGTCAGGACCCCAAATCCTGACCTCCTTTCAGGAAGTCAGAAAGTCCAAAATTATTTTATAATGAGTGATTTTGCACAGCAAGAGGGAATTTGAGCTTGACCCTCCATGTGTCTTCTCTCCCTGGGGTACAACAGCCACAGTACATGGGTTAGATGAAGGCCTGGGAGTCCCCAAGTTCTTACCCTGGAATAATCAGGAGAAAGTTCAAGAAACTGCATAAACACACAAAGGCTGGGAATCTGAAGAGGAGGAAAGGGGTCGAAAAGGACAGAATTTCTGCCTGGAGCAGTGACGCTGAGCAAGAGCTAGTTACATACACAGAAGAAAGACAACAAGCAGGGCACCCCAGGGAACGGCACAATCTCTGTGCTGATGAAGGAGCTCTCCACTATAACCCTCCAGTCCTGCAAGGCCAGAGTCCAGTGGGACTCCAAAATGGGCTGCTCATGTACACAGAGCAGCTGGACTCGATTATTGCCAAAGTCCTGGCAAAGAGGAAGCACCTGGCTCCAGGTTCTAAGCAAACCACAAGCTCCTCCAGCACAAAACGAGGCAGCCTGGACACTCCACCAGTCCAGAGCTGCCCAGCACGATCCTGGGTGCAGCTCTGCCCTGTCCCGAGGCTCTGTGAGGAGCAGGGCCAGGCCAGCCCCGAGCACCACTCACCCACGCAGTTGTCACAGATGCTGCAGTGCGAGGCGCGGGGCGGCCGGAAGATCTTACACG